TACGTAATGTCCTCCTGGCAGAACTGTTTTTCTTTGATGGTGGCATCCCTCCTGCTCCTGAGGGGCTTTGAAATGAAACTGTCCAGTCCCAGGGCACTCTTGTCCCTCCTGTGGTACTTACTTCCCAAAGGCAAAGCATTCCAGGGTGACCTGCTGCCCAACCAGTGCATAGGTCTCTGGGGGGAACCTGGCTTTGATGCTGGGAGCAAAGAGCCGGGGATCTGGGGAGAGAAATGTGTAAATCACACACAAAGGACTCCAGGGAGGCGCTTTGTGTTTAGGGGCCGTGTCTTCCAAAGTCCACAAATCTCCAAACACAAATGTTTGGAGTCTTCCCTTTCTCCAGGGCAAGGTGCTCTAGGAAGACTAGCTGCCCAACCAGGTCTCTGGTCCCACGATCCTGACCTTCAGCAGCCAGGTTGAGCTGCGCGAACTTGCTGAAGACACTCTTGGTGGAGAAGTCCATGTGGCTGGTGGCCAGACAAGAATAGTTGCCCAGGTCTGAGGCATTGGTCCGAGCGATGTATAGGTTTCCTGTGGTCTGGGATACAAAGTGGCGCCCATCCGTTGGGATGAAATTGGGGAACTCATTGAGGAGCCAGCGATAGGACAAACCTAGAAAGGGAAGAAGTTTGAGGAGGTTAGGGAGAGCTGGGTACACAGGCAATCTGGGCGGGATCCTGACATGCTGTATGCTCTGCCTTCTCAGGAGGACTTGCAGCAATAAACAGGGGCTGAAGTAATATGTAGAGGGAAGAGATAGCTTCAGCTCTGTTCTCAGAACTGGGGACACACTCTGAAGTCCAGCTAGGAGACTGCAGGGCCTTTTAAAGTCAAGACCTACCACCTCCTGGCCTGTATTTTCTCTCCCCAGCATCCGGAAGTCCTCTCCAGTGCACCCTGCCCCCAGTCTTGTTATGGCCCAGGATCCCCACTTACCTGGGTAGTGGGCAGGTGGGTTACAGGGCAGCATCACCCCCCAGCCCTCATGGGTTTTCACGGGGTCTCTCTCTTCCTTGGAGAATTCCTGCAGAACTGGAGATGAAGAGCAGGGCTCAGGCACTGTCTTCAAGCCTGGGTTCCCCAGCCCCTCCTCCATGGGGAAGAAGCAGCTTCTAGCATGCCATTTGTGGGCAGGAAAGCCTGGGGCTGCCACCTGTCCTTCCTGGGCACCTTTTCCTGGCCCCATCTACCCACACCCAACATCTTGGCTCCCATGGATCTCACAGCCGAAGCGAAGGACAGCCTCCTTGCTGACGACAGTGCCCACTGGGTTTGAGGCTAGGCACTGGTAGACACCGGCATCCTGTGCCTTGGTGGGGCTCATGATGACCAGGTTGCCCCCCATCAGCTGGTGACGAGAACCGGGTTCCAAGTTCATATCAGTGCCATTCATCTTCCACCTGCAGCAGGGATAAGTGACAGTGGGGTCGGGACCTTAGTCTTATGTGAGGAGAACCCATATGGCTGCCCAGGGCCTCCCAGTACCCATGGCTGAGACCTCACCTATAGGTGGCTGGAGGACTAGCTCGGGCACGGCATGCCAGTGTCACCTGATCCTCTGTGGATTCCTCAGGGAATAGCAGGCCTACAGGCTGGTCTTCAAAGACAGGACCAAAGGTGGCTGGGGTTCCCTGAACAAAACTCCATCCTGCAAATAGGGGGTACCACCAGAGGCTCAAGGTCTGAGACAGTCAAAGTTCAATGTTAACAGCATACCATCTAGTAGGATTTAATGGGATGTCTCATTTTCTGCACGGTTCAGTAGGTGATCATTTGTGGCTACTGAAGATTTGGAATGTGGCTTAGGAACCAAATTTAATTTTAATTTTAATTAATTTAAATAGGCTGTGTAAGTCCCATCAATCCAAGCTTGCACTGTCAGTCACCTACCTACCGTCACATATTAAACATTTGCTGTATACCTAGCACTGGGCTGTGAAAATGAATCAGACACACAGTCCCTTTCCTTGAAGGACTTTGCAGTACAAGAAAGGAAACAGAGAGCTGACAGTGCAGGGTGCCATGTCACAGAGTACTTTAGGGACAAGATACTGTGAGACTCAGGGAACCTCACACAGGTGTGGCACATGAGAAGTCACCAGCAGGAAATACAGGAAAGGGTTGTTCCTGGTGTCCAGTGCTCTCCTAGGGCAGTGTAGTCCAATGAAAAGTGCTCATTTGGGAGCTGGGCTGGGCCTCCTTGGGCAAGTTATACTCCCTCCTCTATGTATTGATCTGGTGTCTTCCCATGAAAAGAGTAGGAATTCACTTTCCAGGTGCATGACAGGATCTAACCAGGAGAAAATTAGGGAGGCCTGGGCACAGGGAGCAAGCTCAACAACCAGCTGTTAGATCCAACTGGGGGCACAGGGTGGGGGGAGAGGGAAGGCCGGACGTTGCATGTGTGGCAGCCGGTCAATTGGTGGCAATTTTATAAACTGTGTCACAACTCAGGAACAAAAAGGCCCAGTGGTCTCATGGCCAATCAGGCAGGTGATGTTGCTTCTCAAATGGGTTTCACATTTGCCTTTCCCAGGCCTGAGACGTCTCAGCCACCTCCTTGCTCTGCCTACACCATTGTCCCATCTCACCAGAACAGAGTCAGCAGGAGGGGGCTGGACAGGACTTCACACCTGCATCAGCACAGTGGGGGTGCTGCCACTGTGGGAGCAGGTGGGAGCCAGGCCCCTTAATTGGCTCCTATCTCTCACGAAGCTGATTTCAGACCTTCCTTGTCGGGTGGGGGAATGGGAGGAGGGAACTCCATTAACCAATTAGTGCCTTCTTTCTGGGCACATCCAGCTGCCAGCCCTCTTCTGAGCGTGGTCCCTCTGCTGCAGCTGGGGCCCAGCTCTGGTCTCTTGGGAATGGGGGCATCTGTTAAGCAGCCCTCTGAATGAGGAACGAGGTAGGAGGCAGGACTTCCAGAATGGTCTGCGGAAGACTTCCCTTGAGTCCTGTTCCTGTTGCCCACCCCCACCCCACAGCAATTGCTTGTCACTCTCCTTTGCTGCTGCCTGAGGCCTCGGAGGTGGTGTGTGACAGCGACTGCATCATCTCCCCCTGGAAAGCCCAGCTTAATCCAGAGTTAATGATGATGGCGGAGGGTAGGGACCCTGTCCCAGTTGGGACCACCTGGAGAGAGGGGAGGAGGAGGACAGAAGAGAGGAGAAGGAAGGACGCAGAGGCAGCAGCGGGCTGCTGGGAATCACCTCACACAGGAGCAGCTTCCTGGAACGCAGTCTGGGAGGTGGGGGCGGCAGAGTGGGGCCTGGGCACACTGGTACTTTAAGACTCTCTTTCTTCTTGAAAAAGCTTTCCCTCTACACCCAGCCATGTGCACGTCTTCACAGTCACCCCGCTATCCACCTGGACACACCTCTGTGTTTTACCCGCACGTGTTCTAACCCAGGTTCTCATATCACACCTATGTTCACACCCAGATGTCTCTCTAAGACAATCAGACGGCCAGATGCACTTCTATGCCAGGCAGAAACAGCTGCTAATAGCCCTGCTTGCTCATTCCATATGTACCTTATGTATTCATAAGTAGCTCTATTTGCAGTAATAATTAAGTTACAATAACAACAGTGCTGTTGATCTAATTGCTTACTGTTGCCTGATACTACACTTCAAATTCTTTCCCATAGCACTCCTAAGATTCAGACCAATAAGGACTGAGACTTAGGAAGGTTTAATAACTTGCCCCACCTCAAAGCAAAGGAGGGCATCTGCCCTCATTTAGCCTCATCTTGCAGCCAGCATTTCAAACCACAGTGGGCATGATTTTTGACTTCAGGTTTTGGAACCACCTGAGGCCCCAGATTCCACCCTAGAGGGCTGAAATCTCAAGTTCTAGAAATGACACCCAGAAATCTGGAGAATAAAAAAAAAATGCTTCTGAAAGGGGCTGGAGTTGAGGACACCAAGGTATAGACTGTGACACCTCCCTCACACACCCACGCGGTCCACAGACAAGCTCACATTGCCCACACTTCCCTCCACAGCTACAGACATACCTGCCATCCCACAGGTGAGCACACAAACTCCTGGCCAAAGGCTGTCCTTGTCCCAAATGCCCTCATTCTTTGACCCCAGTTTCTGTTTTCCCCAGAAAAGACATGTTGCAATGGAAGGAGTCAGAGAGATACAGCGCCTCTCCTTGCCCTGGGTTGTGAGTGGTCCAGAGCTCTATCCTAGGATCAGGTGAGCAAGCCAAGAGCAGAGAAGCACTTTCCAGGCCTCAGTATGTGGGAGATGGCAGCCCAGGTCCTTTGCCAACTGCCTTCTGACCCATTTAGATCAGGGTACCCTGAACGGTGCTTACACCTCTTGCTTCCAAAAAGAGTTGTCCCCAAGTGAGAGGATACTGAGGGTCTTCTCTGGCCTCTCTCAGTGGGAATCTTGCTCTATGCAGTTAGGGCTTCCCACCCTGGCAGTTCCCCCAGTCTGGAGGACCCTGGGGCAGATAGCTAGGCCTGGGGTCTTGCAGTTAGCCCAACTTCTTAGCACTCCCATCAAGCTGAATGGACCTGGTGAGAGCTTCTGAGCATGAAGATCTAGAGGGCATGGCTGTGACTTGAAGAGCTGTGTGTGGGGGGAGGGGGGAAGTAGGGTCTAAACTCCAGGACTGTGGGCTGAGTGCTCCTTCTTGCATGGGATGAGTGCTCCTTCTCCCATGGAGCTCTTTGGGGAAAAAGAAATTCCTGTTGACTTGAGTTTGGAGTTCAGGCCCAGCCAAACTGCAGCCAGCTGACCCCTCAGCACAAGCCCTGTAAACACCCAGCTCCAGGGCAGGAACGCTCCAGCTCTTTTCACTCCGTCTCTGCCCTCTGTTTTCCCATCTTTGATCTGAGCATGGAGAATACCACAGAGATGGGACCTTCTGTCGGCAACCCTGCTCTGCCTCATCTGGTCCCTTTCTACCCCTCCCATCCAGGTTGCCCTTTGGGTTCAGGGCCCTGGGGCATTATTCTTCAGGAAAAAATTCTGGATGTGATGGAGGTGTCCCATGGCCTGGGGTGTCCAAGGTGGCCACTGAGCCCTTGGCATGTGGCAAGTACAGCTGAGGACATCATTTTCATTTGAATCACATGTTAGCTCAGGGATCACACTTGGTGATGCCTCCCATACTGTAGTGTAGTTCTAGAGGTCACAGCTCCAATGGTTAGCATTGAGATCTGGCTGTGCCATATTGTGCTGTCTGACATGGGGTAAACTACTCAGCTTCTCTGGGTCATTTTTTCTTTGTCTTCAACATAATAAAGATCCATTTCCTTCCCTCCCAGCTCTAGAGGTAAGGTAAGATTCACAAACTGGAAGAATTTAGCAAGGAAATGGCCTTGGCAATGTAGAGGAATTGCCACCTAAGTGGTAGTAATGACTTAACCATACAATCTTACCTGGAGAGGAGACCAGGGCCACTGTGGCCAGCACCAGCAGCAGCAAGCATGGCCTTTTCCTGCCTGGTGTCCCCATGATGGGTGTTTCAGGCAGAGGCAGAGTCCAGAGGACAGGAACCACAGCACAGTTCCAGGAGAAACAACTGGAGACTTAAGAGACACCTAAGGAGACAGAGCATGAGGGATCTGAGCGCCCCGTCCAGCTGCAAACACACCTGGTGAGTGACTTGCTTTCCTGACAGTGCTGTGGGGCACAAGAGCTCATCTCCCTCAGGTCCCAGAGGAGGGGCTTGGCTATTACCAATGAGCTCTTCCAGGGCTCAGTGCCCCCTGTTGTCCATCCTCCCCTTCCACCCCACACCTCCCCTGGGAGTCTGGCTCTTCCCAGTACCCCTCCCTCCATCCAGCAGGTGCTGAACAGGAAGTGGAAACAGAACTAATTGGGAGGCAGGAACCCACCTGCCTGCTTGCCTGCAATTGTGATCCCTCTGTGTCAGGAGAAGCCCTGAGAGAGCGGGGCCTGTGCCTGGGTGGGGAGCCAAGGACATCTCCTCTGGTACTTGGGGACCAGGGCAACTCTCTCCCTGCTATTTTCCCACAGCTTCCAGGGCGGGGACCACCAAGCCCCTCTGGAGCTTCACAGTCTCTAAACCAGGACTGATTTTCTCAAAGTAAGGGAAACTTCATGGCTCAGCTCTGTCCCAGGCTGGGGTGCCCAGACACAGCACCTGGGTTCTTTGCTTGGAGTCATGACCTTGGTCCTATCAGTCACACTCCCACCACAATGGAATAGCAGAGACTTGGTAAAATCAGCTTGGGTAGGTCACAGAGAGCAGGATAATGGCTGAGGAGATGAGGACCTTATTTGGAAAAGGAAGGGCAGGGATGGGGCCACCTTTCTATCTATTTTTCCTCAGGAACAAGTCCTGACTTCTGAGGAACAGGACTCCCAGGAGCTACCTTCTAGATGTTGGCATTAGTCTGGTCACTACAGCCCATTCCTCCCTTCAGAGCTGCCACAGGGCCAGGGCACCTGGCTGCAGATTCTACCAGTCTGCCCTCCCCCTGCCTGCAGAAGGCCTGGGGCTTTCCCCACTATCCGGCTGTGGAGCCCTGCCATCTGCATCTGTACCCTTTGTGCTCTTTCAGGTCCTTCAGCTCAGGCTCTCTGATGCTTCCTGAGAGAGCAGTCAGGACCCCTGCCCTGTGGGCTGAGAGCGAAGACTGTGTAGATGAAGGAGGACTCAGATATGACACAACTCACTCCCACAGCACTCATAGGAAAAGCCCCCCCCCCCAACCTGGGCCCTC